TGAACTGCGGTTATAGATATGTATGATGCACGATTCTCGCAGTAGAGAGCGCTATATATAGCGTTCTCTACTCCGAGAATCGTGCATCATACGTACTTACAGTACTCTTACGTTACAATTAATATTTATGCTACTTAATTACATTGTTCACTTACACTACTGTAATTGTGAGTGGAATACGGATAAGAGTAACTGAAAGGAAACCCACGAGTACAGTCTATAGCAAACTTGATCTTCAGAAGCTTAAGGTCAGGATAAGTAGAGTAGGATATGGCCGTGCGAGCAGGCTCACATTTGGAACCTGCAAGCAGGCTCACACTTTTGGAGCCTGCCAGCAAAATAACGAGCAATTATAATGCATGAAGTATTTTGTGCCTCTTCTGTTGAAATTTATAGTGTGAATCATTCAGGATAGATATTTTTTTCCAATCTCTAAGTTATACTTCAGCTGTTGGGCATATTTTTTGATAGATGGAGAGATGTTCTTCAAATTAATTGCAGCAATGAATATAATACCATGTGAGGGGCAAACGGTAGCTTACTAAAATATCACTTTGTGAATTGACCTGAATTTAAAGTGCCAATGACTCGAATTTTATTTTTTGCGTTTTCTATTGATAGCTGTATTTTAAATTCGAAATAATCGACCATAGCGCCTCACGATTTCTCCTTAACTCTTTTTTTGCGCATTCAAAGGACGATATTGGCAAATTTTCCAATATAGGTGTATGATATTGGCAGACGGTAAGCTCTTGGTTATGGAAATGCGATTTGTTAAAGTCAACACTCTGCAGTCACGCGCAGCGTCACTGATGCGTACATCGTTCAAGTGAAATTTGTCAAGAGAACATGAATTGTTGTCTTGCTTTCCTCGTGTTCTCCCAACATCCCGCGTGCCGGGCTTTATTACGTTGCCGGAGCTCAGAAAAATGTGTTCTATTGCTTAAAAAATATAAACCTCATTTTGCCTTCAGAGTATCGCTTTTCTTAGTTCAATTTTACCTCTTCGCTTTCACATTTCTGCTTTAAAACCTATAGCGTGGACAAAGCACGCCGCCGGTACAACAAGAGCACACACCGTTAATAACATACAACTTAATTTGTACAGTACCTTAGCATCTACATTTTTACTTTAATTAATAATTGCAGAAAATAAAGGTTGTACTGGCTGCACTAAGTCATACGTTGTCGAACAAAGTGTCATTATAAAAGAAAATTGTCTAACCTAACGGGCTGGGGTCACCCTTATCTGCCCAGACGAGATAACTCGCCTACCTCTAGTTCTGATGGGATCACATAAACACTTATTAGCCTTTTTGGAAGAAGACCTGAAGATCTTGGCTTTTCTAATTAAGAAAACTTGAATGGAGTGCGTTCTTGGGTGCAATGCCGTCGTTTTGATTTTTTTTTTTTTATTGCTCGTCGCTCTACTAAATGTCGTGAATTCAGTTCCCTGAATTAGTATTCTATCTCTCTCTCTCTCATAGCGTTATGTTAATGTTGTGAACAGTCTCATAAGGCATACACGGCATAACTTGTAATCAGCGTCAAAATCAGTTGACACAAGATGTTTGAAGAGAAGAATAACAGTCCTGTGTCAACCACACTTCAAATCCGTATGATGCACGATCCTCGCATTAAATCATTAACTTCCTTCATTCAATGTTGGCTAAAAGTTCATGGAATCACGATAGAGTATTGTTTTTATTTTTGGGGGGAGGGAAGAGGGCGAATGAGATAACTTCACGAGGGCAAAAAGAGATAAAATGGAGGTAATAAGGGGTTGAAAAGGTCAATTTGTCAACAATTTTGTCGCCGATTTAAGTTGAGTCCAGTAATCTTGTCCAAATTAAAGCGATTCGTAAAATCATCCTAGTCAATTGCCATATTTAAGGGGCCTTTCAGTAGACATTTCAGGTGATGAAAGTATCCGCAACGCCCGGGTGGTCCTCCTATAGTGGCCTATACAGGGACACTCCGCCCGAAAGGGCCAAGGGGTTCCTTTTTCAAGCTTCATATGTACAAAAGATAGAAATTTCTCAAGTTGAGGTGAATGAAAGGGTCAGGGAAATCTGTTGTTTAAGTATAACGTGAACGGTTCATAACTAAATGACACTTAAGCTTTTTGGTTATTATCTCTTCTGGTAATGCTTGACTTTCTCCAGTAGCATTGTTCATTGTCATTCCAAGGGTTTAAAAAAGGGATGAAGCGTTCTTGAATTCTGAGGTTTGTGAAAGAAGTTCCTAAAAAAGATGTACGAAAGGGTAAGGGTTGGACCTTAGGAAAGGAACCTCCACATACAAAATGCTTTACAGCAGCAATGAAAGTGTTTTGTTTTATCATCAGTTCTGTTCAGAGTTCATGCTGTACAATCATGTTTCAGAAATTATAGGGTCAGTACAGGCGTTCCA